AGGGGAACCTTTTTTCCTCTCAAAAACCCGGGGGGGGGGGGGTGGAGGGGAGGGAGGTTCTACACCTAAAGGGCCCCATGTGGGCTGGAGGGATCACTGATAGCCGTGCTGCTCACTCGAGGTTGCGCCAGATGTGAATGACCTGCTCTGACCCCTGACCTCTGCAGCACCCAAGCCTCCTGCTCCTGAAAGCCTCCTTGACTGGCTGAATCTCCAAACTCGAGGGACTCTCAGGGCTGGGTGCAGGCCCTGCCTTTCCAGAGACAGGTGTCCCAGTCAGATGGGGTGCGGGCAGAGGGTTTCAAGGTGTGCATGCTGCAGGTGCAAGTCAGGTCAGCCTTTCTGCCCCTGCCCCAGTCTCTGTAGATGTGCTCCCAGACACAGTGCTTACTGGGGTCCCTTTTGAAATGTGGGGAACAGGCTCACACGGGCAGTGGTACATACACAAGTGGTCACCTCAGAGGAGAGGGAGGCTCCAGAGGTGACCAGGCCCTGGTGGCTTAGCTGGCCATGCAGGCCTGTCTATGGTGACATCTGTCCACTGCCCTGGGGATGCTTTCCCCAGAGGGTGGGCCAGCCTTTCAGATCTTATGTGAACTTCCAAGGGTGGAGCCTCAGTCCATTTTGCTCCTCACCTCCAACAAACCATGCCCTTTATGTGCTCACTGAAGGATGAAGGAAGGCAGGCTAGTCCATGAGGCTGGTACTACCCCTTTACTGTGGGCCTTGTTCCTCAGGATAGGGTGACCACGAGGAAGTCAGGGCACCCGGTGGCTCTGGTCAGGCCCACCCAGGCCCTGCAGTGCCCAAGATAGCAGACGCCAGAAGGAGGTGCTGCCTGTTGCCCCACTCTGCACAGGAAGCAGCTTCCCAGGGCTGCTGGGAAGTCATGGCTGAGCCCACCTTGGCAACTGATCCCCTTACAGAGGACTGGCTTAGGCATGGGCACGAAGATGCAGAGCTGTCTGCTCGGGTGGGGATGGGGAAACTGCTCGTTGCTGATAAGAGAACACAAGTGGGCAGAAACGGTTCCTTCTCTAAGCAGGGAGCCCGGATTGGGGGGGAGGGAAGGAGCTGAGGACACACTGGACATAGATGGGGGACCTGGAGCGGCAGCTGGACCAGCACTGGCTCATGGATGCCCTGGCTCCCTTTGCCTTCTTGTCCATCACCAACCTGCAGCCCGGGTTCGGCTGCCTGGTACGGGTCTTGCTCTGGCTGGGCACCATACCCCTCTGCCCTGGCCTGGCCTGGCCCTATCCTACATTTAACTGCAGGCAGAAGGTGTCTCTGCAGGCAGCAAACCTCTGCTGACCTTATGTGTGGCTGTGGCCACCTAGCTAAGATGTACTAGAAACTTCTGACATTTAGGACAGAGTTCTTCCTGCTGCCTTAGGCCCTTGGCCCGCTGCCTCTAGGTGTTGGTTCAGAGGCTTTGCTCTCTGGGGTGTCATGTTCCACAGGGGCCAGCTTCACTACCTTGAGTGCCTCCCTCCTCCTCTGCTTTGCCACTTCTAATGAGCTCAGATCCATTTGGCTTTGGAGTCCCTAGGGTGTCACCAGTTCCCCTGCCTCCACCCACCATTTCTGCATGCTGGGGAGGGGGAAGGGAGCAGCAGCCACAGGGCAGCCTCTGTCACCTCTGTCACTCACCCTGTTCTTGCGATTGCTTGGAGAGTCCCTTAGTGAGAAGGAAGGAAACCTCTCCTGGGAGGGGGGCTTCAGACCAAGCTGGCCACAGATGCTGTGGGCAAGAGGGAGATGGTAAAGGATATGAGGACCATAGGCTCAGGTACTGCCATCTTTGCAAGCAATGCCTGCTGGTTGGATCCCAAGTCACAAACATGGGTCTCCCTGCCCCAAGACAGGAGAGGGGGAGAGGGCAGCCAGCTCCAACATGCAACATGCAGAATCGTGGCCCAGCACTAGTTTCTCTTTCCTGTCCATGGCGGGCCACCCCTCCCTGCACCCTGGGACCCCAGACTAGTACTGCCACCCAAGTCTCGGGGAGGAACTAAACACATGCATGCATGCATGTGTGCATGCACACACACATACATATGCATGCTTATGTACATGCACACACACATACACATGCACATATAATACACAGGAGAGTCCCCAACTGCAGGGCCATAGCAGGAGGGTGGGCCACAGCTGCCCACCATGGGCATTGGCCTGAGCCTTCTCACTCTGCAGGAAAACAGAAGGGGGCTTATCTGCCTAAGTGGACCTTCAGCCTGGGACCTGTCCTTCACAGTTGCCTCTCCAACATGCAAGCATGTCATGACAGTGGTCACGCACAAGGAGCTCAAGGGCTCAGAGGTGGCCCTCCCATGGTTCAAGGCTGAACAGTGGCACTGGCTGGGGCCACGTGGTTAGTGGCTCCCACGTGTCCACTAACAGTCGCACTGAATGGCCTCCAGCCGGCCACCATCCCCACCAAGGCTCTCTGTTCCTGTAGGAGCTTGGTTCTGAGCCTTCCTGTCCCTGGGTCATGGGACAACAGCTCCCCTCCAGTGCCCTGCACACATGCAGTTTACACGACATGGAGATGCTCCTAAATCAGCACTGGGCGTTCTTGAGAGTCACTCCCAGAGAACACAGGTGCAAAAGAACAGCTGCCCTCGGTGATTCCCTTCCCTTCTGCTCCAAAGTTACAGCTCATGGAAAGCCCCATCGGACCCTCTGTGGACGTGCCACTGCCATACAGATTCACCTTGCTTCGTCCTCGCTGTAGCTCAGTAGGTCCTGGCCTGTTTCGGCAGTGGAGTCAATGGAGCCGTTGCCCATGCCCTCTCTGTGTGGGGCGGCAGTGATCTCGTCTCCCTCCGTCATGGCACGGGACAGCTCCTCCTCAGTCACAGCTGCAGGGAGGAGGACAGAGGTGGCAAGGGCATTGCAGTGGCCTCACCTACACGCACACTGCGGCTCCTGTCCTCACGGCAGCCTTCAGTGCAGCACGCTTTTGAGATGCACATGGTCTGTGCACCTGGACGGCAGCAAGTTCCCAGGCCAGGCTGGCCCCTCAGCCCCAACACCTGCCAGGCACAGAGCAGGGGACCAATGACAGCTTGTGAATCTGAGCTCCCCTGTATCTGCTGTGATACATGGCAGCCCCAGTAAGACAAGATGCAGAAAAAGGTAAAACAGACCACGGTGTATTCCATTTACTCATGAATGATTTAGCTTCTCTAAAGTTTATTTATATTAAAATTGTATTAAAATATTATGTTAAAAGCTCAAAATTGGAGTCAAGCTCAATGGAGACCTAGGCTGGGAGAAAACTGTGCCCATATAGTGAGGAGGATTAGAAACTAGATAGTAAGGGGACCAGCAGTTAGTGTAATGGCCATGTCGCTGAACTCCCATGTAGTCGACCACGGTTCGAGTCCAGGACCCGGTGGCTTAAACTCACACCGGGCGCATGTGCTTGTGTGCCCAAGATCCTGAGAGAAGAATGGAGGAGAAGGGATTGTGGCGTGGCCATCCCCCCTAGGGGGGTGATTTCTTGCTTTCTGTCTCTCTGTCTTTCTAGTGAGCGCACATGCCCTATAGCAAAAACCTCTCCCCCCCAAAAAAAGAAACTAGATAGTAAGGATGACTGTGAGGAGCCAGCAGGTGGTGTGGTTATGGCACTGGACTCCCACATGGCCGATCACCCTTTGAATCTCAGATCTGCCAGCTTAAAAATCACAATGGAGGAGGAGGGATGGCAGTGTGGCCATCCCCCTGGAGGTGATTTCTCACCTTCCCTTACACTGTTTCTCTGATGAATGAGCTGCCCTATGACAAAAATCTAAACAAATAAACAAAACAAAAACATAGTGAAAAGAATGCCAGTGAGCTACAGAAAGCCTGCTGGCCCACAGCAAGTGCTTCGGTGCTGGGAAAGGTTGCAGGAGCCTGCAGGTCCCTGGGTCTGGCCTGGTGCTGTTCAACACCCCAGGACTCCCGCACAGTGCATGGATAGATGCACAGAGCTGTTCCTCACAGAGAAACAGAGGCATGGACACAGGCATCCTTCAACAATGGTCACAGGAGCACACCTATGTGGCACATCCATTAGGCCAGCACTTTGGAAGAGAGTACGATCTTGGGGGATGGCTCCTCAAGGAGACTTACTGGAGGGGGCTTCTCTGTCTTGGAAGACTAGGAATTTGTGGAGAAGAGGAGCAGTGGGGCAGGGAAACCCCCCTCGATGTTTGCACCAGCATCGGCTGCAGGCACCTACCTTGGTTGTCCAGCTTCTGCAGGTGGGGCAGGGTGCGCAGCACGGTCATGCGGTAGAGATGGGGGTTGGTGCCACAGCAGGGGTTCTCTGCCAGCCACAGCACCCTGAGATGCGGCAGGGCCTTCAGGTAGAAGAGCTCGGCCAGGCTGTGGATGCGGTTTCTCCGCAGATACAGCTCACTGAGGTGCTGGCAGTGGCTCACGGGCTCCAGGGTGGAGACGCTATTGACGCTGGAGAGAACAGCATGGTTAGCGGGGCAGGCAGAGGCCTCTGAGGCCACTGGGCTCATCCCAGATGCAAATACCAGACAAAGGGCTCAAAATCAGAGAAAGAAGCTCAAAATCAGAGTCAAGCTCCATGGAGACCTCGGCTGAGTAGAGAGCTCAGGATGGGGAGGTGTGATCAGAGCAGACTGTGCCAGCTCCTCGGCCTCACGCTTGTATTCATTGTGTCAGGGTGCTGCCATGGGAGGTAGGAGGCCTCACCCTCCTCCACAGGTGAGGAGTAGGCTTCTGAGGGCTACATCATTTGCCCCCAAATAGGCCAGTAAAACCTATGGCAAAAAACATATGCAAGTTCTGTGCTTCACAGGACCAAGTACTGACCTTTTTTTTTTTTGGAGAGGTTTTTGCTATAGGGTGCATGTGCTCGCCAGAAAGAGAGACAGAAAGACAGAAAGCAAGAGATCACCCCCCAGGGGGGATGGCCATCCCATAATCCCTTCTCCTCCATTCTCCTCTTGGGATCTTGGGCATGCATGCACACGCACCTGGTGTGAGTTTAAGCCACTGGGTCTGGGATTTGAACTACGGTCGACTACATGGGAGTCCAGTGACATAGCCATTACACCAACTGCTGGTCCCCCCCAAGCACTGACCTTCTGAACTCCATGGTGCGAAAGAAACAAGGTTGGGACCAGCAGATGGCAAATGGTTAGGTCACTGGACTGTCACATGGTCAAATGCAGTTTGAATCCTGGACCCAGAAGCTTTAAACTCATGCCGGGTGCATGTGCACACACACCAAAAATCCCAAGAGGAAAACAGAGAAGGGATTGTGGCATGGCCATCCCCTCTCAGTGGGTGATTTCTTGCTGTCTCTTTGTCTCTGTCTCTCCACGCACCCTATAGCACACATGCCCTACAGTAAAAATCTCTCTAAAAAAAAAAAGAAAAAGAAAAAGAAAAGGAAAAAGGAACAGGAGATATGGTTTTAATTTTCATTCTATAGAAACATGAACATGTCAAAGAAACAGAAAAACACAAAGAAGCATGTAGCAGAGACCTAGACACTTAACTGACACCAGGGGTATCATCCTACTTCCACAGTCAAATGGACAAAGCTGCTTATAAGCATACGCTCAGCTGACAGGTGGTCCCAGGGCCCTGGAACCCTGCCTACCCCCCTTGCCTATCCCCTCCTACAGGGCTCCAGGTGGTCAGTGCACCTCTGGAGGGAGGTCACAGCCTGCCTTATGGATGCCATCCCAGTCACTTGCTTGCTTATTGATGCAGTTCTTGGTGCCAAGGACTTCATTTAGCATCAAAATCTGAGTGTGATGCCATTTTACCAGGAGCAAAGCTAAGGCTTTGGAATCCTGATGACAGAACCACCCTGCGGTCCTGCCGAGTCCTCCTCCTCACTGCTTCCCACCCGACACTAGGACCAGGGTCCAGCGATCTCATGTCAGAGGATTGCCGCCCAGCATTCAAGCACCAAGTTCCAATCTCAGTGGTCCCCACTTTAGCACAAATGTGGTCAGACCTCTGAGAGAGGGAGAGCTATAAGTATGTACAACCCAATTGCGGGTTTCCTGCTCTTTTGGGGGGTGGAATTGAAGGTAAGGCTTCCTGGGCAGGGTTTCAATTTCCAGTTTCACCATAAACAAAACATTAATAAAGGAATCAATGGCAGTTAGTGTGTGCACGCTCGCTACAGCTCTGTATTTGAGACTGCATCCTCCTCTTCATCACCCTAGGGGGTGAGGACGTAAGGACGTCCCTGTTACAGATGAGGAAATCGGGTCACCAGAGGTTCTGGGGCTTGGCCCAGATTAGGCAGCCAAGAATAGGACAGCTGGGATCCAATGCAGAGCAAGGTTCTTAGCCCACTTGTCCATCTGGTAAGAAACCGCTGGCAGAGTAGGTGCATGCCACTATAGGGAGTCCTGAGCACAAGCGCACATGCCTTAGCCTCTATGGCAGACAGCAGACAGGCCTGGGCATCCAACCGGGCAACACCAGTCTTGGAGGCAAGATGGAGAACAGGGAAGCCAGCCTGGTGCTGGCCATGTGATTAAGAAGGTAAGGCACAGCTGTCCACAAGGGGTCCAAGGGCCTAAAGGCACACACAGAGGGTGAGCTCCAGGACCTTCCAAACTGCAAAACAGGGAGTTTGTAGGTTTTCCATGTGGGGATCCTGCAGAGTAAAGCCACTCTTTTCTTTTTTTTTTAAGAGGTTTTTGCTATAAGGCGCGTGCGCTCGCCAGACAGACAGAGAGAGACAGAGAGACCGAAAGCAAGAAATCACCCCCCAGAGGGGATGGCCACACCGCAATCCCTTCTCCTCCATTCTCCTCTTGGGATCTTGGGCACGCACGCACACCTGCCCGGCGTGAGTTTTAAGCCACCGGGTCCGGGACACGAACCATGGTCGACTATGTGGGAGTTCAGCGACTTAGCCATTACACTAACTGCTGGTCCCAAGAGTAAAGCCACTCTTGCACAGCAGTGGTGCAGGAATATCAGCTCCCTTCCCCTGGTCCCACTGGAAGGTATGAGGGCAGGGAGGGAGTTCAGGGACAGGGAACTCTTCTCTTTCCCAGATGACCCCCTCCACCACCACCACAATACTCCTAACTGCCTGCAATTTCCATATTTGGTTCTTCCAAGATCTCCCTAGTCTGTTAGGATACGCACAATCCCAGAAGTGGGATTATTATGGATGACAGACCATGGAATGCTAAGAAACTGGCAAGCACCTAGCAGTCAGGGACCAGGGGGAGAGAAAAGGCTGGGTCTGAGAGTCCCTGGGGCAGACATGGCTACTATCCAGACCACTGCCCAGTGAGTGCAGAGATAACTTCCCAAGTACAGAGACCAAGGATAAACAGAGGACATAGCACAGCAAGCTCAGGGGTATGGGGATGGGAGAGAAGAAAGGGAACCATGAGGCAGCCTAGGGAAGACCCCAAGAAAGGGGGTGCGAACATGGAGAGAGGGCAGTGGGGAGTGGCTAGCTGCTGGCCTGCAGCCTCCAGAAGCCACTTAGAGTTACCAGGTTATCTCACACCACTCATCCTGCAGGTGGCTGAGGCTCTCCCCCACTTCGAGACCAGGGACTCAGAGTAGCAGCAGGAGCCAGTACCTGAGGGTGATCACTTCCAGGCTGGGCATTTCCCGGCATATGGAAATCTAGGAAGAAAGAGAGTATGACTGGCAAACATCTGTCAGACTGGTGTAACGATGCCACTTCTATCGGTTCATCAAGGAAATTACATTTGAGCTGTAGCCAACTCTACTTCAGGGGCCTAAGGGGACCTTGCTCAGCCAGGGCCTTCTCGGAATGAACCAAGAGCACGCTGGGCTCCACATCACACTCCACTTCACGGCCTACAGTCCCTCAAATGAGGAGAAATGAGTGTGCTCACTTTCACAAGCACTCTGGAAAGCTTTAAATGATGTTACTGTGGTCCAGTGCTGCTGGCTGTGGAGACAGGGCATTTGTCCCTTTAGGTGTCCTCAAAGGGCACCTGTGTCCTTATGCTAGGCCAGAGAGCATGCCCTCGAGGTTCAAAAAAAGTAAAGAGCCCCTTCCTGCCTACAGAGCCGGGCTGAAGGAGACAGGCTTGAGACGGATCTGGTTATTGATACCATTGCTTCGGCAGAGCAGAGGGGCCAGGTGCTTGGGCTGGTGCACGAGGCCCTCATACCTGAAAAGTGGCTGGAAGGTGCACCCCCCAAATATGTGAGCACCCACTATGTGCTGGGCAGGTGCCAGGGGCCTGGGTGCCAGACAGGACCTCAACCTTAACGCGGGGCTGTCTGGGCAAAATCCTTCACAGATGTGGTGCAAGGGATTCGTTTCTTTGACCACAGTGTTTCTGAGTTCTTGCTGCTAAATATGTAGTATTTCAGCTATAACAGGAGGAAGAATCTTTCCAAAGGCTACTCGTTCAGGTGCTGCATGTGTCTGGGTGTTACATGTATCTGGTTGCTGCACGTATTGGGTGCTACACGTGTCCTAGGTGCTACGTGTGTCCAGGTCCTACAAATGTCTGGGTGCTACACATGTCGGGTGCTTCATATCCAGTTTCTATGGGTCCAAGTGCTATTGCCTGGGTGCCATGCATCTGGACACTACACATCCAGGCTTCTCTGGACCAGCCCAGCTTCTCAGCAGTATTTTGTTTTGTTTTTAAGGAGAGATACAGTTCAGTTTAAGAAGTAGATAAAGAAGTAAGTAACTGGTATACAAGCCCTGTGTAAGTTGGGGACATGTGATCTAGGATTGAAGAGAAAGGAAAAAACCTCTTTACAGACCCATACACTCAAGCTCTTAAAACATTAGGCCTAATTCCTGCCTGCTGGCATAGGGGTTGGGGTATGGAGCTGGGTCTGACCCAGAGAAAAGCTGCAGTGAGGATAATCTCCAGACCTTCTAAGGACTGCACTTTTTCTAAACAAAGTACAAAGCCTCCTTGGAGGCCTCTCCAGGACAGAACTCCAGCTCTGCTCCTCCTCTGTAAGTGGGACCAGCAAGTAACAGCACTTCCTGTACATGAGTGTTTGCAGGAGCCTGAAAATAAACTGGGGCACTACAGATTTTTTTTTTTTTTTGATTTTCGGTTTTACACTACAAAAGTAAAGAGATACAAAAACTGTATCTCTCCTTAAGTAAACTAAGAAACCAGCTTAGGACTGAATCAATGGGCGCAGCCTTATCAATGTGCAATTCCCTTGAGAAAGTAACTACCGCTTTTGGAAAATCAGGCAGTTAGAAATGATAACATGATACTTACGTCTGTGAGATGGCTGCCCCTGGGGAAAGAAGAGACAGATACACTTTAATTTTGTTAATGTGGGATAAAAACTATTAAAAACAAAACATCCTTAAAATGAATGTCGAAAGCCTACCAACATTTAGATTCTATGAGTTTAGTGACACAGTGAAAGAGAAAGGTTATTTAGATAACCGCAAAGGTGTCAACAACTGTTTCTGGGTTGATCTCCAACAAAACTGTGTCTGATGCTGGGGGTTACTTTCCAGAGTATCTCCCCTCTCCCAGTAGGGGTACTAGGGTCAGCAGGGGTCACTCCGTGTGTAGGACACAAAGATGTGCTTATTCTCATGGTCCTTGAGGAACAGAAGGTTCATTTCCCTGGGACATAAACAAGGGAGTCTTTATAAGAGGCCAAGTTCAAAGGCTAAACATGCAATGCATGAAGCAGACTTTGGAAGACTGAAACAGGGTTCTTGTTTCTCCCTGCTTAGAGAAAGTCTTGACCACCCCATGCTAAACAAAGAAATGCATTGTTGAAAGCAAATGACAGTCAAGAGTTGTGGCCAAAACACAAGATGCAGTAGGGGGAAGAGAGGGCTTTCTAATCAACACGGCAGACAGCTCCAGCCAGTTGGCTGAGCCTGTTCCCACTGGGCACACAGCTCGTTGAGGCATTAAACCCACTGAGTCCCAGGGACACCTTCAGATCTTTTAGGCTCAATTCCCAACCGCCTCCCGGAGAACTCTGATCTCCTTGGCCTGGAGAGACTGGTTAACCCACCACAAGACCTGTGTCCACCCCACAGCCTCCAGTTGGGTCCTGCCACCTCCCAGACAGTAAGCCCCTGCCAAGCTCTCCACCAGCACTTGACCACTAGGAGGGGTGAGAACCAGCTCAGTGCCCCCTTAGTGCTGACGGACGGTCCCCAGTCTCACACGTAAGACTCGCGCACAGGGCCATCTGCCCCGGAGCTGTCTACAGTCCAGGGCGGTCTGCAAAAGGTGCTGGTGGTCCTCCCACAGGCAGCCCTGGTAATCCAGGCTGTCCAAGCAAGGGAGGCCTGGTTGAAACCTCTGTCGGAAACACCAGTCATGGTGCGGGAACGTCCGGCCAGGGCGCTGTCAGCAGCCAGCGGGCTATGGTGACCCCCGGTGGGACCCAGGCTCCGGCCCTCACCAGCAGTTGAGTTTTCGCACGCTGTGCAGCTCTGAGGCCTTGGCCCGGGACAGCACCATCTTCCGCGTCAGCTTCATGCTCTCCAGGCCACCCACCCTCCTAGCCGTAGCTTCTCTCGCTGGGTCTACCCGCCGCGGCGCGTCTCCAGGGGGCGGGGCCCGCGTCTCCAGGGGCGTGTCCTGAAAGCCTATTGGTGGTCCGGCAAGGGCGGATAGCGCAAGCGCAGTTGGGCCGTCTGAGTTTCCTCTGGATGCTTTGGCTCCACTCCCTCCAGTCCCTCTCCTCGAATCGAGAGCCCTGTTCTGCGCGTGCGCGGCGAGGGCGCCTGGCTTTGACGTAATTCTAATGCGATTCCGGAAGTGCGCTCTGTCCTGGCCCTGGCGAGCCATTGTCATAGGGTTGGGAATGTCTTCTAACCCTGTTTTCTTGCTTCTCTATCAGTGTTTAGAGGAAAGATCGTAGTGCGGAGGGCGGGGGTCAGGCCCGATAGAAACCTCCCGAGTATTACGCCTTTAGAAGTCAAGGTGTTGAGGAGCCAATGTTTTAAAGACTGGGAGGTCCTGGTAGCATTGACCCAGAGGGAGAGAAGCCTTTAAGGTTCAGTCACTTCCCAGACCGTTATTTGGAAGAGTTGCCAGGGATACGTCTGAAGAGAACCAGCCCAGATGAAGCTCCCCCGGCCGCCGCAGACTCATACTGCCGCCTGCCGGTGAGCCTGGAACATGGCGGACACGGTACAAGAGACTGGCAGAAGCTGGTGCTGCTCTTGTGAACCATAGCCAGTTCTTATGACAAATAAACGTTGGTAACCCTTCCTTCGCCCCTTCTCCGTATATCTTAATTCCTTGAAGGCCATTCTCTCGTGAGCATATTTTGGGCTCCTGGGATCTATGTTCACTCAGGTGGGCATCCACAGCCCTGACTCATATCCATTACTTTTGTATTTTGCCTCTGCTCCTTTTTTTTTTTTTTTTTCAAGTTGTCACTGTCTCCCAAGTATGATTACCTGGGCTGTAGGTATCATTAAGACAGGCATTCGGGGGACCAGTTGATGGCGAAATGATTACATTGCTTGACTTCCATGTAGTCGTCCACGGTTTCAGTCCTGGATCTGGTGGCTTAAAACTCCCACTGGGCCCATGAGCTTCAGTGCCCAGGATCCCAAGAGGAGAATGGAAGGAAGGGAATTGCAGCATGGTCATCCTCCCTGGGGGATGATTTTACCTTTCTGTCTCCCTGGCAAGCTGAAAAAAAAAAGTCATTCGAGACCTCAGACCTGTTAGAAGTGATAAGTCCTCTCCATTCGAGTTATAATAAATTCCTCCAAGCCCTCTTTATATTAGGCGTGCCCAGCCTGGTCCTTGCAAAGAATCCTGCCAAGTCATCCCCTCTATCTCATGTATGTGAGCACTTTCCATAACTGATTGGCAAGTCCCTCATGCCCTGCCTTTGGCATGACTGCCACAAATCCTGTTAAGTCTCTTTAGTAAGGATCCCCCCATACGAGTCCCTCATGCCCTGCCTTTGGCATGACTTTGCCACAAATCCCGTTAAGTCTCTTTAGTAAGGATCCCCCCATACTTGGTGTCTGCCTTTAGTCATTTTCCACCCACTGACCCATTCTCTCTGCTCCTTGGCTGTAAATCCCCACTTGTCCTTGCTGTATTTGAAGTTGAGCACAATCCGTTTCCTTTACCGCATTCATCTTGAATAAAATCTTCCCTACCATTGTAACATGTACCAAAATATTTTTTACTTTAGCAAGGGTCAAAGGTGCTCTCCTAGGATGCAACAGAAATATGAGGTTAGTGCCCCTGAGACTGGGGAAGGCCTATCTGTACGAGAGACCTCCGGCAGATAAGGGGACATGATTCAGTGACAGAGAGCAGCTTGGCCTTCCTTGCAGTGAAATTTTGCTGTGAGAGCTCCTCATCCCACCCAATTCACCATTTTTTTTTTAAAAAGGCAATATAGGGAATTCCAAAAGGAGGAAACTTTTCACTGTAGTTTAACGACTGCTGTTTTCTGTGTTTTTGTCTCATTTGTCATATCTTGTCTGTGATGATGGGTGCTATGAGGGGCTTTATCAGCCAGATTCTTGCCCTGAGCCTCCTACTGAGCCTTAATGAAGTGACCCCAAAGAAATGGTGTGTAAACCTTCCCAGGCAATACAGAACTTTTGAGTTACTCTTGAAGAAGGAAGGCAAACTTGTAAGCAGTGGCGGGGAGCTGGTCAGAGCTCTCAAGTGGACACTGGCTTAACAGACTCCTGGGGACCTGTTAGAGTCCCTGTATTATCACAAGAAAAAGTGCTTTGCAGGTCGGAAGCCTTGCAGGTTCAGGTGGCATGAGCTTGAGCAGAAACAGACCAGGCAGACAGAAACAAAGCAAGAGCTGCCAGAGAGTGAAAAGGGTGGGCTGGAGCTGGTAGCTGGCCTGTAGAGCTGGTGAAGAAGAATCTACTGAGATATAGAAAAGGCAAAGGGAAGTGAGCATCTCCTAGCTTTGGCAAGCTCCCTCTTTTGTTCCAGGGGACCAACATGGATGGGGCCTTATCTATTGGAAGACGTGCCCGTCTGCTGGCAGCTGTTGAGAAGAGGGAATAGAGCTACTGCTTGTCTTAGGTTTGCCCCAAGTGGCCTCAGTGGTCCCTCTTCTTTCTTTCTGGGCTAGTGTAGCCACGGCAAGTGCCAGGTTGAGCAGGTCAGTGCACCATGGGGGAGGCCTCCTCGCAAGAGCACTTCACTTGGAGCTTTTCCTAGGTGGTAGGGCTGCAGAGGCATGGGCCCAAAGGTCTGGGTTGGAGGCTTCGTACTTCAGGACATGTGGATTTCCCTGCACTGAAGACTCATCTAGAAGCAGCAGCCACTTCGCCCTGCGTCTCTGCAGTCTGGGAACTGGGAACTCTGCAGGCAGGGAACACTGCTGCTCAGTATTGAAGTGAAGGATTGATTATAAAGTAAGCACAGATAAGCAGATGAAGTGGAGGCAGTAGCTCTTCCTCGTGCAGTTCCCAATCTCTGGGAACTTCTGGAGCCCCTACTTCGAGGATACTGCTGCAGAGGGTGCTTAGGGGCATGGAATAGTTGGAAGTCCTGGTGAATTCAGGTAATATATAATATCTGCAGCTTTGCTCTTTGTGATTTTTGGCTACCTGCAGTTAACCACAGTCTAAAAATAGGTGAGTAAGGTACAAGAAGGGAGAGAAAGAGAAGGAAAGAGAGAGAGAGGGGGAGAGACTACAGCTATATATCTTAAACTTTTTTCTTTAATTATGATAGAGCACATGTGAGTGTGAGAATGAAGGAGATGAGCACTGTCCACAGGGTCTGACCATGCCTTCATCCCCTTCCAGTTCTCCAGCCCATCAGATCCTGGACACTCATGTGCATGTGCCCAGTGTGTGTCAGGCTGACCAGGCCTGAGATTAGAACCACAGTCACCATGTGGGATCTGGCTTCTCTTGAGCTGTGCAGTCACATAACTATCATATGTTTTAACTGTTCTGTTTTATTATTATCATCCTTAATCTCTTACCATGGCTAATATATAAATTAAACTGTATCCTGGGTATATATGTACAGGAAAAAGCACAGTACATACAGGGTTGGGTACTGTCTGCAGTTTCAGGCATTTCCTGAGGGCCTGGAGACAGATCTCCCATGGACAAGGAGGCCGGCTGTATTTGTAAAATAAGGATTCTTAGATTGGACAGTAGATGGGCAGAGGCTTTGGACTATGTTGCTGTGGCTCAGCTACATTTTTCCAGAACTTCCCTTTCTTTATAGATCCAGGCCACGCTTGGCCCAAAGAGAGATATGTTTGCAATTTAGGAGGTGGAGGAGCAGCAGCAGCCCTTTCATGGGAAGACTGCCAGGGTCAGAGACGGAGAGGGGGGTAAAGAAAGTGGGGTGGGGCTTCCTTGCTCTGTAGTGAGCCCTCAACACAGCCGAGACCACCAGTGCACCTTGCTGCAAACTCACCCAGGAGGAGCTTTTCCATAAACGTCCCTGCCAACCTGTGGTCCTGGCCCCAGAGAGCAACATGCCCAGCTCTCCCTGTGAGCTCCCTGTTGTGTGCAGATTCCCTGCCTCAGGAGGGCTGCTGAGAGACACGCACTCATCCTCCAGCTTCTGCTTTTGGATTCACACTTCCCTAATATCCTCACTATTGGGTAAAATTGAGTCTCTTTAATAAATCTCAATTTGGGGACCAGCAGATGGTGTAATGGCTATGTCACTGGACTCCCATGTAGTTGACCATGGTTCGAGTCCTGGACCCCGTGGCTTAAACTCATGCCAGGCATGTGTGCATGCGTGCCCAAGATCCCAAGAGGAGAATGGAGGAGAAGGGATTGCAGCATGGCCATCTCCCCAGAGGGTGATTTCTCACTTTCTGTCTCTCTGTCTTTCTGGCGGGCATATGCGCCCTATAGCAAAAATCTCTCCAAAATAATAATAAATAAATACATCTCAATTTCACAGTGCTCATAAGGGTCTGGCCTTAGCACAAATAGAAATGCTTAAGCCTGAAATTACACATTGACATCTACAACTGAGCAGCCAGGATGGCAGCTTCAAGCATGGTGTTTTGCGAGGTTCTTTCCTTCTCCAAAGGGTGAATTGAACAGAGACACAAGAAGTTGGAAAAAGACATGAGGCACTGATGTCATGTTAATTTATTTTGAGTTTAGGGTGGACTCACAAAGCCCATAGCAGTGCTTGCAAGCATTTACTCCCTCTTGGAACTTGTAATGCATATGGAGAGCACTTGCAGAGGCTTCCTCCCTCCTCCCTCTGAGAGCTCACAGCATGGAGCTGAGCTGAGCTGAGCCTAGCCAAGGCCACCAGGGCTGAGCTAGGCGAACCAGGGCCTAGTCAAACAGGGCTAGCTAGCTAAGCAGTGCTAGATGACCAGGTGCTCCTTTCTCTGAAAAAGGCTGCAGATAACTGTGGGTCATTACCAAAACCAAACTGTCACACTTGCACATGCATGCTACATTCGATGAAATAAAACAACAAAGTCATAATTACAAGTGCTTGAGTGCAGTACAACTAATAACATAAGTTGTTTACCCTGTGGCCTTCAAACATGGTAAGATAGTGAGGAAGCCAGACTAAACCATCCTGACTCCATTTGCAATACACATGGTT